CCTTCAACAAAAATGCTGTTCACTGATGGTCCTTCTCCCAGATTTGGCGTTTTCCCTGTCAGAAGTCGGTGCGTCGACGGCCCTGGAACAGCCCGACTTCTCCTGAATTGGATGCGGTAAGAACGACAGCATGGTGTCGACTTGCCAGTGATGGCAAAAAGCCAACATAAAGGTAGAAAGTGATTGAATTTGATCGTGTCTGCTGAAGAACTCAATTCGAGTTCCTGCTGTGAGTTGTGTGCCCAGCTGCAAAAAGATTACTCCGTGTCCATAGAAAAGGGTCTGCCTGTTCTACATCTGCACGTCGTGGTCCTCACGTTCTTTCTTTATCAAGTCACCATCTGCTGAGCCGTACTGCACTTTGGCGGCAGGTTTAGAGCGCTTGAGCCAGCAACGACTTATTTTTGACAAATAGTCTTTTTGTTCCATCAACTCTTGCATTGATATCCCAATGTTCCCAATATTATGTTGTTACCACCTTTCATAGTAGAATCATATGTTTTAGATATCTTAGATTAATCACATCTCATTTTGAGCGAAAGACCGTCACCGTCACCCCAGTCCGGAAGCGCCAGTCCTGGTCAGTCACGTCGGGGTGAAATGCCGACCCCAAGTGTCGCACCGCATCCCAAGTGTCTCACCGACAAAGGAGATGGCCTTTTCAAAAAAAGACACTAGTAAACTAAACCATAGTAAACACCTTTAAGCGTCTCCAGGCCTCTTTCTTCGACTGCCGGCATGGTGTGGCAACTGTGGCACCAGGGCCCCCCACCCCCCACAAATATCAGCTTAGCAACATCAAATATTGACAATGTTGACAACATGCATTCAACATGGGTTTCTCACCGGGTTTCCGAGATTGGATGGGAAAGCTATGAGAAGCTAGCTGGAACATTATTTTAGTCTTTTTGGAAATGGGAGATACTGCTCAATTGATTTGGAGGTCACGACAAAAGTGTTCACAACAGTGTTCCAGCTAGCTTGAGAAGATTGCCTGCCGACAACTGCCGATCTACCAGCAGATCGAGAGATCATTGAAAACATGAACGCATGCAAAACATTGTAAAACAACGGGTAATATTGACTGTTGATTCGTACTGTGTGGATACATATGGACCATTCTTTGACGTCTCTCTAGGAGGGTTAGAGAAGTCGAGGGACGTCACGCGTCCCATCAGCCACCCTAGTAGTGATGGCCTCCACTGCAGGTCATCTTTTTTCCCCTGCACTGCGATTTGGATGCATTAACAACGCGGCTTTCTCGAGCTGCCAATCGACATTTGCCGATGTGCCGGCAAAAGAAATCTCCTGCGTCGGCAAGGACAAGATGGGTCACCAAGATTTCCAGTGACCTGGGTGTGATGAATATTGTAATATATGTTAAATAGAGTGAAAGAAAGACTGAAATACACCATGGATCCCTTGGGTGTGCTTGTACGTACATATATAGTATACCCAGGAGTGACTCCCGCCCATGAGTCAATGCACGAATACGCGCAACGAGTCGGTCCCCTGAGCCATACACCGTCGCAAGTTTGCGGGGACCTCGTGTGATCGTGAACTCCATGTGTGTATTCTCGTCTTTTCGGTCGCTTCGGTTGGATGGAACAGGCTGTGGAATTTAATGGGGAAGCGTCCAACCATAGGGTTTTTTTATGTCCTTTCTTCCATGGTGTCTTTGGGAGGTCCCCATATTTTAATACACAACCATATGGCTGTGGATCAGAAGCGGAAAACTCGTGTTGATCACCAGACATGGTCCACCTACCCGGCTTTGTTGGGTTTGGACAAAGCTCATTCGCTGGACATCTGAATTCGGATCGTCTCCAATTTTCAGTTCCCAGACACTCCATGTATGGCATATTTGCATACATTGACCCCTGAAACCACCCTTTGACCCCTGCACACATGGAGTGTTTGGGGTTGGGAAAATCATCGCCTTTTTGCCCTAAGAATCCGGGCTCCTTCACCAACAGATGGGGTTGTTTGGTAACCGGCCCCGTTTTGACCCCGGAGCGTTTCGGTGGAGTTTCGGTCCGAGCACGGACCCATGGACAGGCCGTTCGAATTCTTAGGGTGGTTCAAAATCATCAAAGATCTGCAGCCTGCAGGCCCTGCGGGAATCCGAACCCCCCCCCCAAAACTGGGCGAAGTCGTGTGTGGGCCAGTAAAGAGTGACCGTCGACGCCACATACTCCTGAACACTAAGGGTCAGTGTTCAAAGGTGACGAACGTCTCACCATGTCTCACCCAACCAACCGCCGTTCCGCTGTGATTGAACCCCAAAACCACCATGGAAGCGTTCACTCCGGTCGTGTCATCGCTTTCAGGTGCCGCTGGGTGGGGCTTTCGGGTGGGGCCAAGGCCGCTCCGGTCCTCTCCAGTCCTTCAGGGCTGCCCGAGACAGGAAGGGCAAAGCACCTTGGTCGCGCCACTGTTCACCGGTGCCGCCGTGAAAACCACCGAAGCCGGTGAAGCCCGTCCGTCGCACGGTCCGGTGCAGAACGCTAAAGAGGGAGACCTCTAGACAACGAGGTCCCGGGTTTCGGGTTGGACAACAGACTAAGAACCCACCCCGAGCCAGGGTGTGTCCCGATTGACAAGGCAAAAAAACACCCAAATGCGCCCAAATCGTACCCGTTCTTCATATCCTTTAATTTAACATCCCAGCAGTCCCAAAAGGATCGTTGAGGGTCGTTTTCACACCCCGACCATCCCCGACCCCTAAGTCCTAAGAGTGAGTGGATGTTTTTCAGGGGCACCCCGACTTCCTCCATGGATAGCACCCAACTGAAACTGCTGAAAACCTCTGATCCTTTTTCATCTCCCAGCTTCCGACACCCCAGACCATCCCCAGACCTCGATTTTACTGCGGAAAGAATACGGTTTCTTGAGGGCAAAACAAGGATCGAAACCCAAGGATTTGATGTGCAGCGCCCTCGGGTTGGCAGAGCGTGGATGTTCTGCTTCATTGAAGCTTATATTAGCGCGAAAAGAAGCTGACGTGACCCATCCGTGACCCTCCAGCGAGGTACATTTGGGAACAAGGAGCCAAGAAGTCATTTGATTTCCAAAGAATGCAACTTTGACTGACAGGTCTGCGAAAGCATACATACAGTATTCTCATCCCCAACTTAGTGTCCCTATACTCAGACAAACAAATGGCCAAATTAAGGCTAAAGGCCAACCATATTAAACCACGCTGCCTGGGTAGATTCAAAAGAACATCTCCCCACTTCCCCGCGACGCTGCGAAAAAAACCCGGGCATGCGCACGCTGCTTCCATCGTTGGACATGAACCGTTGACCTGTCCAATCGGACGCCCCATTCCCAAGAGTGGATAATGGCTAGTAATAACATTTTGTCAGAAGGAACAGTTATTTGTTATCAACAATAGGAGACACCCGAGGTGTAGGATGATCGAAAGAAAGGGACGACGACAGGGTGCGCCACCGATAGATTAGAACAATATCTAATTTTGTCTAATTCAGCATCAACTGCCATCAACATTAGATTCAGTCTGGGGATATATTTTGTAATACCCTACCGCAGCCTGGTCTGGACCTTCTTCGATGGATTTTGCTGCTGAAGTAGTTTGCCAGCGATTTCTCCACAAGGCCCAACAACGGAGTATGTTTGCTCAAACGAACTAGGAGCCAAACAAATGTCTTCGACAGCCGACCAGCTTGCTGCTTGTGGGTGTTTGAACCTTGATCCCCTGTGGCCAGATAAGAACATTTGGATTTGATTGATAACGCTTCAGTGTTCAGAGATGGTCCAAATTGGTTGTTCATTGGACGAAAATTGGATCTTCTAGCGAGTTCCCCTATCCTGCCCCAAACGAGACTACGCATCCGGATTATGACCGGAAACCATCCTAGCACTTCTCGTGGGACAACTTCCCTCTTGTTGTCTTAAGATCATTTGGACCTCGGGCAGTGTGCAAGTAGCTGCGTAGCTCTCTCTTTGATGAAAGGTGTTCAAAGGATTTCAAAGGTGTTCTCATGTCTAGCGAGAACATAACATCAAAACGGTACAAGAACTCGAATTCCCATTTGGTAGAGTTGGTTCTGGCAATGTTTTTCTTAAATTTGCTTGCTCATGCTCCCTCAAGCACTTGTGGAAGTGGAAGCGATGCACTGGAAGAAGAACATAATACATTGGGTTGTACATAAGGACGTGAGAAAGTAGCCAAAGGGAGTGTTTACACACGCAACTGAATGCCTCTTTCGTAGAGAGTCCTCACACATCTCAATGAATCAGCATGCTTTAGAACTCCTGTCGAAACTGGACACCCCGGTGTCACCGTGCGGCCGCACGCAGCAACTAACTAACCCTGAGGAACCGGGCCACAAATGACACAGGCCCGGCTCGCAGGGCCCGCAGGGCCCGCGGCCCTGGTGGCCTGGAGACGATTCCCCAGGAGTCCCATAAGAGGCACTATATATACTGGGTCGTGTCGTGTATTTAAGGGAATGTGTAAATACCTCTATGTATGTATGTATGTACGTACGTACGTACGTATGTATGTATGTATGTATCATGTGTCGTTCAATACAACAACAGCTGTACGTCTATATATATACCAATAGTTTGAGGTTGAGGTCACTGACGTTGTTGTGGTTGTTTGTCAGACATAGTTTTTGTGGAGCACGGGTGCAAAGTGGAAGCAAATGCAGAGGTAAGTGAGAAGTGAAATCAGCAGACATGCAGAGGTGAGTGAGAAACTGAAACCAGTAGACATGCAGATATATGTGTTGGGTCACATGTGTCAGGGAAGGTTGCATAGTAGAATTGTGGGTGTCAGTGAAGGTTGCATAGTAAGAATTGTGGCTGCCGTTTCTGCTCAGACAGGACAGCAAGTTGGATAAAGGTTGGACGCCGTGACGCCATGGTTTAGATAGAAGAAGACGTGACAAACACCTGTTGGACGACATCAGCAAGCTAACTAACTGCCAGTGAATGCAAAGCAGCGAGCCCTTTTTTTGAGCAATTAGGCCCTAATTAGGCGTGCAGATCCGGAAGCATCTGGCCAGAAGCGACCCAAAAGCTTTGGGTTCGATGCCAGTATGTGCACTGCAGAACTCGAAATTTACGGGGCAAGCGCAATGGACCCGACCTTGCGTTTCAGGGAGGTGCGCAGGTGGTAGCTTGACGGTCACCCTCTTGCCATGTGGTAGCTTGTGTTGGCACATCTTTGCGAAATGGGGTTTCACCCACACAGGTTTTCCCTTCACACCATCACTTTTCTTCGTAAGCGCAACATTGTCGCGCAGTACACCACGCAACTTCATCCTGTAGGTCTTGGCACCATCAGTATGCAAGATCACATCCCGACCCTTAACGTCTGAGCCACGGGTTTCCAGTCCCGCTTGGTGATCGGACCTGGGCCTGGCGAGCGCACAGCCGCAGTCTTTGGAGGGAGACGGAAGAGAACCAAGGAGTTGGGCTGGCCTCGTTCCACAATGCCACCCCACTGCTCCCACTTGGCCTTTTTGTGATGCAAGTCCATCTCCTTGCCTACATCGACTTCGTCGGCTTCAACATCGCACCACTGGTGGCTAGCTCCGACCTGGATCTCCTTTTGTTTCTTCATGACATGGCGGCTGCGAGCAAGCTCGAGGTTGTTGTGGATGTGAGAGACTGGCTTGTGATTCATATACCCAATATGGTAGGAGCTGAAATCACTGGCACGTCCGCAAGTGCACAGCATAGAACAGCTGCTTGATGCCCCAACCCCTTCCATGCTGGAAAACGGGATGGAAATCATGTGGCTGAATGTAGTTTCTGCACTGCTTGGCTGCGCACTTGTGTGCCCAAACCTTCCTGTCTTTGAAAGAGCGTAGACTTTGGAGCTTCCCAGCACCACAATGGGGACGTTCCTGCCCTTTCTCTCTCTGCCATCGACGGGACTTCATCAAGGTGCGGGATTTTCCTCTCTTCGGGGCAGGCCAAGCCTGTGGCTTGTCCTTCACAGCCTTCATGATCTTCTTCGCCATGGCGATCGTAGGAAGCAAAACCTTCAACGAGAATGATAAGTGCATGTTGACTTTGAGTAATGCCAGTGGTGACTGGAATTAGACATAGGCGCTGACAACTCTGAAAAGCCAAGCATCCAACAACGACTTGTCAAGGAACTAAACCGGGAAGGAATGTACGGCTTTGATCGTTGCGAATCAATTGAGAAAGCGAGTAGCAATCAAGGCACACAGCAAGCAGCAAAGAAGAGTTACAATACCATGCGCGCAGTGATCAACGCGTCTGATGCTTTGGTAAGGCTGATGTTTCTTTGGCCTTGGCCCATTTTTCTCGTAGAGTTACCCTCCAAGAAGTCTTGGCCAAACTTTTCGCCGTTCTCCTGTAAGCCATGTTTAGAGCAGATTTCCCCGTTTGTCAGACGTAGGTGTTTGGGAAAAGGGACGTCCCTTGTCCAACACGCACGCGATGGTTTCCCTGGTCGGGCATACCCGGGCGATACATAGGTTGAAGCACAGGTTAAACTACCCATCTCCCTTTGGCTGCAAAGCTGCAGATGCAACTCATGCGTCATGCGACAGTTTTTGCGCCGCAGGAAATGTCAAGTCCATCCCCCCCCGGCCATCCGGGCGTCATGACACCATAGCAGACAAACAAAGGACAAAGCATTGGGAGCAAAGTATCTGACATGAAGGGCTTCAAGGAGAAAGTTGTCAGAGGAAACTCTCGCTGCAAAGTCGCACCGCTCAAGGCCTTGGACTTGTTCTGCGCCATGATCCTCACCTTGGTCTCTGGCCATCCAATTGGGGTGTTGTTCATTGTGAGCATCGCTTTCAGGCGCATTGCCATTGATGTAAGCTATGCCTTCCATCAACTCATCTTTCTCTGGAGCCCATGTAGAGGAAGCAGACCACCTACTACTCTTGCTTGGCCTGTCCGACCACTTAGCTACTGTGCTCCATTGCACATGATGTCCACGGACGCGATCAAGCAGAGATTGGAAAGCCTTCTGACCCAAACGCTCAAACCCTAAAAACTGGCCACATCATTCATACCTATTTCCATTGCATTTCCTTTGTTAGCATTTGTTAGCCCTCTGTTTGTGTCAAATCCTGCCTTAGGTTTCACAGTGTCACCAACATCTTGAGCGTCCATGTTCACGTCGCTTTTCTTCCCAGTTCCCCTTGAATTGCAAAGGCTTCTCTGTAAGTGCCCCGAAACACCACAACTTCAGCTGGATGTCGACAATGGGCCCCAGTATGGCGACCATTTCGCTGAGCAATAGCCGGCCAATCTCAGAATTTAGATGAATCCGGGTTTAAACTTGCATGAGACCTGCAATTGTGATTGTTTATTGGCCGTGTTTCTATTTCCGCTTGAATCCTGGTGTCAGGAGCGTGAGACCCACAATTCTGATAATTGTTGACTCTATTGTGCGTCTGGAGTATGGGGCACTGACCAATGCAAAGTCAAGTTACTTGAGCACCCACGCCATCAGCAACACAAAACAAATAATTAAGCGTCACACCGGCTGTTCTGTCACCCTGCGCAGGAAAGCCAATCACAGAGTGGGCAGACCACGGTGCCCAACACTTGGCCAGTTGAGTTTCCACAAATCACATTCTCCTGCGTAACATTGCCCGCAATGTCCTCGCAGCCAAGAAAGGTTGCAGTTGCAAATGGCAAATGCCAAACAGCACAGTACTGTGAGCATGGACTACAACGCATAGCAAGCTGTTGATGTTCTCTCACCTAGACGCAATTTGGCGAAGAGAGTTTGCAGACTGCAACCAAATCCAGGAACCACATGTTGGCTCTAGGAAGGCGAGTCCAGCGGGATCCATGGCTACCAGCATCTCCACAAGAATCTTTATTCCAAGGAGTGTGTGAATGTTGTGGGTAGCACACCGACTGTTTGGTTCTGTTGCCAAGATGATCTAAACATAATGTTGTTCTTATTCTCCAAGTCACTTCAAATCAGGGTCTCCAGTACGCTGATTTTTGCCAGTGCGTATGTTGGACCGGTATGTGCAACATAGGTTTCGAACCTTGAAAGCATCACGTGACGGCACCTTGTCCTTGAACAGGACCATCTTGATGACATTCAATTTTCTGTCTGCCGACTCTGAGATGATCCCACCAATCTTGGCATTGAGACGGCGGCGCTTCTGTGAACTGGAGTGACGGCAGGGAATCAACTTTTTGTTCTTGTAATGCGGCTGCAACATTACGGGCAGAGCCACAGCCTGGCACACATAGATGGACAAAGATCAGGATGGTAGACTTGACTCCATCTGGAGCACGGCAACACTTGAGGAAGTCTGTCATCGGCAGGACTTGCGTTCGATGTCTTGAGGAAGCAAGACGCTGCCGCGTGGTAAGTCCAAAGTCTCGAAGTGCTACTCCTTACCCCCATAGGTCTGCATAGCTGACAAGATCAGCGGCCATTGGAGGGCCAAGTGTTGGAAAAGGGATATGAGTATAAACCTGACAAGGAAGCCAAGAACCAGAGCAGCTGCGGGGCCAGAAGTGTGAAGATCCTAAACAGATGGAACTTGAAAAGTGAAAGCTCCAGATTCGCTACTTGCTTGCAATCGATTGCAATCTATCTAGGGTACTTCAACGCAACAGTTCATGTACAGTACATATACAGGCGGCATGTACTGGCGCTTGTGCCCTCGTTTATACTACATCATGCACAGCGCATATGCATGTACTGACGCCCGTGGTCTCGTGTCTACCACACCATGTGCACCGAGCGCGACCATTTCCACCGTCAAGCCGCTCGTGTTGAAACCTAATGGCCCCCCAGCTGCACTTGCAGCGCCTCTACTGTCTTCTTCAGGTCAACGTTCTCTTTCCTCAGCTGCACATTTTCTTCGCACTTTCAGGCCATCATTTTCCTGCTCGATCACTTGATGACACTCCACAGCTGCAAGGAGTTCATTGCGCTTTGCTCGAAGACATTTCTTCGGTGTACTCGGTGCACTGGACTCATTATCAGACTGGACAGGAGCAGGCTCTGCAGCAGGATCCTCATCAGGCAGTGCATTGGCTGGACATGCAGACTCTGCACTGGTGTCACTCTGTCAGAGTCAGAGCTAGACGAACCGGACAACGAAGTCTCTTGGTCGGCAATGGGTAAAGTTCAGCCTTCTGCTTCTTGGCAGCGGGTCCATTTTCCAGGGCTAGCAAAGCAGTTGCACCTCGTTTGGCTTTGGCCAGGTTGGAGCGAAGTTGGGCCGTGGCTTCAGCTGTCCAATCCCTTATGAGTCAGATCCGCAAGCCAAGCTGCTTCTGCACCGTGACCAGACTGCATCACCTGTCGTGTCAGTGGCAGGCGGCTCTCATGCACAGGGCAAGATTGGATTTCCTCTAGCGACGGGCGCGGCGCAGGTGCCGGACGAGGAGCAGCAGCCTGTACAGGGGTTAGCTCAAGGCGTGCTATGCCATTGCGCAAAGCCACTTTCCTGGTGACTTCCAGCTGCACTGCCATGACGACAAGACAGACAAAGGCAAAGGAAAAGGAGGAGCAAAAGCGGCTATCACGACACATTATCATTAGGACGTGCGTGTTTTCATTCGGACGTGCCCAACTTGCCAGGAATGTTGTCCAAATGGTCTTGTAGGGAGACCCGGTAGATGTGGCCGTGTGTGGCGTCGGAGCGATCCTGAGCAGACAGGTTGAAGCATATAGATTGGGAGGAAGTGTTGAGGAGTGAGTGCGGGTGATTGCAATCGATTGCATAAATTCACTTACAAAAAACTTTCAAGTAACTGAATATGTATACAAACAAGCAACAACATGTGAACATAAAATGTGTACATAATGCAAACATAAAAAAAACTAAAAAAAAATATTTTAAAAAAACATTGTTGGTGGTTTCAGCTCACTTGAAAAACAACTGCATGAACCCACAATGAGTTCCTCCCTTTTGTCGCAGTCAAAGAAGTTCAATTGGAAGTTCATTTGGACCTGTCAGTACACCCCTACTACTTGCGCCGCCCTGGCCGACGCCCTCCCTCCCCACGCCCTCCGCCCCCTCCGGCCTTCGTCCTGACACCTGGCGGCCGACGGGCGAAAGCGAGAGAAACTCTCCCGCCACGCGTGGTGTACTGAGGCTCTAAGGATCTGGTTTCACGAAGCGAGGAAGTTCGCGGCCTTCTGTCACTGAAAGTTGTATCAAGTTCGCAGCCTGGCTCTCGATTGCTCTGCATTGAGCCTTTGGATCATTGCAGAAACTGGTGGGTTATCCCTGTTTTCCTGACATATTCAGGGGATTTCGGAATTCAGGGGGCCATCTCTTTCACAGCAACCAAGAGCGACAAAGGAACAAGAACCATTGATTTAAAGTACTATATATACAGTAATTCATCTATATGACTTCCTTTCATCCTTTCTACAGCCAACCCGTTCGCCGTCACCGGGTTCTCACCGGGTTCTCTATCAAATGCCGTCTACGCCACGCACCGGCCGTCTCGCTCGAGAGCCGCGCTCAGGCCTGGGCTCTCCCCCTCAAACCGTCGGTCCGGGAACTGCGGCGAACCGGTCGCTGTTTCGGAGTTGTTGGGAGGTAGGAGAGTGAGGTGTCGGAAGGAGGAGATGTGGTCAGTCAAAGGATGGGGTGGCACAGATGAAAACTCCTGATAGGGACCAGCGGCAGCTGTGGAACTGAACTTTGACACACTCTGACACTTGTATTCAGTTAATCGATTCCTCCGATGGGAAGGATGGCGATGGAACAGTATGGCGAAAAGTCCGAGAACTTGTAGGTGTTTCAACAAAATTGTTTCTCAGGTCTGCAGAAACGAGCGGTGCGCTGCGAGTCGGCTGCAA